TTGTTTGCCCTTATTCCTAAACTATCTAAGTCCCACAGCTTGCTAATTTCGCTTTCTAGACTGACTGTATCCATGGCTACGCTCTCCTGTGCTATAAAATTGACTGTCACTTCTTGCTTACTATCTGCCTCTTTCCTTTTGAGGGGCCCAGACAACACCCACCCAAGCTCAGTTTCAATTGCTACGGGTTCCTCGACCTCCCCCCGTATCGTTTTCCTCTTCTGAAATTCCCACAAGTAGTCCGCTCCAATTAAAAGATCTATTTCTAGCTGTTCCTTAGTTTTACAAACATCTGAGAACCAGAGATCGCGCAAATGGGGAAAATCGTTTTTGACAACCTCTACGTGCTCGTTGCTTATGTGAGAGATTTCCGGCACGACATAAGCTTCGAGCTGGAGAGCCTTGTCTCCTTGTAAAGGAATTACATCAAAAAGAACAACTTCCCGCAACCCCGATTCCCTGACTCTCTCCCCAAACGTAGAAATACTTAACCATTCCTTTCTTACAACCTCTAAACCGTGTGAACTTGCGGCTTTCGCGGTAATAAAGGACCTGTGACTACCCGAGTCGAATAGAACTCTTATTCTCCCATGCTTTTCTCCCTTAATTAGTGCTTGAGCCGTCTGGAGCGCAATTCTACTTTCGGTTCCCACAAGCATGCTATTTGGGGCGCTCACAGCACTTCCTGTGGGCTGACCACCAGTTCCCCTTGTGGTTTGTGGTGGTTTAGTTTCACATAGAGATACATGATGGTTTCCCCTACAGTCTTTGCACTTAGACTTACTTTTACAATCACGGGCAAGATGACCTTTGTCAAGACACTTATAACATCTACCGAATTTACGTACTAATAGCTTACGTTCCTCAATGTTCGTGATTCTCCTGCAGTCCTCCGGGGGATGGTCTCCAAGGCAAAACGCACAGCGACCTTCTGACCTTTCTCTTCTGTTGTCATTGTTTGGGAAGAACGAGCTTGTCGGCGGTGGCGGCGGAAATTTTCTCCTGGATTCTTCTGGAGCAAGGCTTACTTGAGGCGTGAGGCTATACTCCTCCCTCAGTTCCACTTCTTTCAAAAGTGCGTGCAACAAGTCTCCCAGAGTCCACTCGAGGTATTCTTGCCCTCTGGTGATGGTTAGTCTAAGGGTGTCTGAAAGTTTTTCAAGGATGGACGGTACAACAATTCCCGAATACGTTCGTTCGTCCACTCCGATCGCAACCAGGCCTCTGTAATGCGACTCTACTGTATCGTGTAACGTTCGCAATCTCCGGGGCTCTCTATCTCTGTACACGGGTTGTACTTTCAACAGTTCGCTTATGTGGGCCCTTTCGATGGCAATTTTTTTCCCGAATCTCCTTTGCAGCAGTTCGATCGCTGCCTTGTAGTTCGCCTCGGTCAGTGCGAACCCGGCGATACTGGACTTGGCAGGTCCCTCAATCAGTCCACGAAGATAAGAAAACTTGTCTACGTCCGACAGCGAGTCATTCTGGTGAATAGCACTTTGGAATGAGTCCCAGAACTCTTGCCACTCGTGAATCCTTCCACTAAACTTCTTCACTTGTACTTTCGGCAGTCGTGCCCTTGCCGTTTCGTTTTTGGGTGGTGGGCTTGGCACGGGTTCGCTTGCTAGCGGTACAGCAGCAAGGTTTTCGCTTAACTGTTTTTCGATCGCTAGGATTATTGCTCGTATGTCGCTCTTGATTTTCTCCGAATCTTCAATCTCTGCCGCGATCGCTTCTTCTCCATCGTCGTCTGCACTGACTAGGTCTAATATCGTATCGTCCAGGCGCTTTAGCGTCTCCAATTTTTCTGTTAAGGCGATTTTCGTCTGCATAAGAGTGTCCTTTCCTGTTTCGTCATAGTCTTCAAGAAGGTCTCTCGCGGTACCCANTGTTGCAGAATTCTCCACTGCGTTAAGGAAAATCCCTGCGTTCCGCTGGTACAGCAATCAATAGGACTGTATCTTTCTGGTTTTTCAAGTTTATTTACGATCCGCGTACGCCTCTACAATCTCCGTACAATCTACGTTCAGTCGATCTCAATGTCTATTCCGAATGCCCTCAATTACAACATGTTATCTCTATTTATCACAACGGAAATACACACCTAGTTACGTAAATCCGAGATTCACAATGCTTATTTGCGCTTTACTAAGCCATTTTCCTGTCGCACAGTTTGACTTGCGTCCTTACCCAGACTAATCCAATTAGCCCCTAGCAATTAAACCCACACCCACTATTTGCGGAGCACGTGTCACATATTTCTATGTGTTACAGGATGTTCCAGCCCAAATGTACGCCTTAAATTCCTCTAGATAATTCACTCGCGTGTATAAGCTAACATTCTATCGGTTATTTATTTTATCTATTTGTTTTTTGCAATTTTATGATTATGCAATGACACGTTTCACAACGATTCTTTCATTTTTCAGCCTCATCACTACTACGTAGAAAATCTTGGCTGCTATCAAGAAATTTATAAACATTTTCAGGACTTTCTCCAAGGTTATTATGATCAAATGGTCTCTATAGGTTTTTTCTCCAATTTTCATTGTAATTAGTTCATTCCCTAGTCAAATCAGGATACATGAGGAAAATGCTAATATCCCAGAAAGAATCCGTAAATTTTAGTAACATATTTATTGAGTCACACAACAGCTTGGATATAATTCATGAAGATCTAAATAGTGAACATGAAGTGAAAGTAAACATATTTCCTAAGGTCTGCCGAGAGTTCATAAAGTTGAGGTATAAGTAAACGGGTAACTTCCAAAATAAAACTGAAAATGAAAGAGTAAATCACAAAACAGTGGTAATTGATTACATTTATCTTCACTCTCGGTAAACAAATAACTGAACAGTGATAAATGGTAAATTCTAATCCCCATAAATTCATTATTAAAGAAACACAGAACAGTTAAAGCCCGCAACCATCAATGATTACCTAAAAGGCCCGGCTGCGTGGGTTACGACTAAAGGGAAACAATATTGCACATCGAAATCCAATTGAATCTTTTGCGGAGCGAGCCTTAACTTCTGCGGCTAATTGATAAGAGAGCGAAAAAATATTATGATCATGAAAAGTTTCAAAACGCTGAGTTCCTTGAAGTTTCCGCCTCTTGTCGTCGTCCTTCCACATACACCAACTTCACAGATTTCCAAACTCGAACAGCGTCCGTTAGTAAACCTCTCCTTTGCCTGAATGTACTCGGGGAACGAGCCTCGCCAACGAAAACCAGTGGGAGCATCGACATCAGCCACACTAGTGTTGTTGGTGAAGGCGCAGAAGGAAAATCCGGGGGGTATGACCAGAAATTGTCGGGACTCATGGGAGACGATTTTTGCTTTTGTACTGGAATGCGAAACTCCGGCTTGTACTTCAGCAGAACCTTTTGCTGTCAACGGGCCGGCCTCCTTTTCTACCTCTGCTCTCAGAGTTC